GAAATTCAATGCTCGCTGTGGATTTCATCGTGGAGAAAACTTGTTCTACCGTACTTCTCTTGGCTAAGGTGGTTCGAAACCGTACATGCCGCCCCCATGCTGGGATCAGCATAATCACCAAACCGTCCTGAGGTGGTGTTTTCGGTTTCATTGAGCAACGAAAACACCAAAGGAAACTTCTGGGATTCAACTCCAATACGCATTGAGGAGGGCTATTAGAAAATGCCCCGGTGTCAGCCTTTGTAATTCGTTAGGATCTGATGTTAAAGAGCACAGCGGTCTGGAGTTTAAACAGGCTTCGATACGCGCCAAAAGGGTTGCAAGGGCTTCGTAGGTAAGCCTAGCACCGCTCACTGTTCGCTTTAAATGATACTTAACCGATTTTACATTCGCCTCCCAAAGTCCTCCGAAATTAGGTGAATGGGGAGGATTGAAGTGCCACTGTATACCTTGGCTTGCTAATTTCGGCACGACTTCTTGCTCTATGTCCTCCGCAAATTTACGTTCATTTGGTTGAAGTACCTTGTCAACGCCTATAAAATTTGTTCCGCAATCGCTGTAGATGTCTTTGCACATACCTCGACGTCCAATGAATCGTTGCAGGGCCATCAAGAAGTTTTCCGTTGACATGCCTGTGACTGCTTCCAGATGAATGCACTTTGTAGCTAAAGAAATGAAAATAGCGATGTACCCTTTGTATGTCGTATTTCCACGAAATCTATACGATTTTAGCTCGATTGCGCCGGTGTAATCGACGCCTGTTGCGAGGAACGGACGTTGTGGTGGATTGACTCGATGGAATGGAAGTTCGCCCATCAGTTGACTACCAACTTCCGGCTTATTTCTAACACATTTAATGCATTTTCGAAGTTGTTCTTGCACAGTGCGTCTGGCATTTATTATCCAAAACCGCTGTCGTAAATATGTTAAGGTAAGCTGCGCACCACCATGTAATGTAGTTAAGTGCGCGTGAGTGATAACCAAACTAGTGAAATGATGCTTACTTGGTAAAATGATGGGGTGCTTCTGATCAAATGGAAGATTAGAGCGCTGAATTCGCCCACGCACACGAAGAATTTGCTGCTCATCAAGAAACGGAGTTAAGCTAGTAAGCTTGCTTCTATGTGGAACAGGCTTTTTATTGCGAACGTTGTGTACTTCGGTGTTGAATGTTTCTTGTTGTACGAGCCTGGCAACCCCTGATAGACTTTGGTTTAGCTCGGTGACCGACAAGGGTCCACTTATGCGGGCACAGCTCTGAACTTGGCTATTCTGCACGAAACGGAGAATGTACGCACAAACGCGTACGGTTTTCGTTAGCGACGAGTACCGAAGAATAACGGAGTCTTGACAAATCGTGAAATTTGCTTGAAGCGGCTTCCTTTTAACTTCAGCTATTTCTTCGTTGATGTGCAATTCAGTCGTGCTAAATTTCGGCCAGGAATCTTCATCTGACAGCAACCACTCTGGGCCGGACCACCATAGCCTGAAAATTGATAAACTGACTGGTGTTAGGCCTCGGGTTCCGCAATCAGCTGGATTTTGCATAGTATCGACGTGACTCCATTGTGACGGTGAAGAGGTTTGTAGTATCTTGCCAACTCGGTTTGAAACCCATGTTTGCCATCGATTCGGATCGCCATTTATCCAGTAAAGCACAATCGTAGCATCGGTCGAATAAAATGTTTTTAGATTTGTATACGGTAATGACAATGATTTTTTGGTCCATTCCATTAATTCAGTCGCCAGCACTGCTCCGCATAACTCGACGCGTGGTATAGTCAACGGTTTTGTCGGGGTGACTCTGCT